AAGTACATGTACTCAAGTACTGTACTTGTGTACAATTTTGAGGTCTCTATACTTGGGTATTTTCATTTTGTGCTACTTTACTACATTTCAGAGGTAAATATTGTACTTTTTTTTTTTATTCAACTTCAGTTCCTTTGCGGAATCAGATAAAACAAACAGGATGTAAAGTACTTCCCATTACAAGTATATAGTACATTAGCTTATTCTCATTCAAGATGAGAATTTCATCATCCTCATCATCTTTCTCTGCTCCTCAGGCCTCCACAGAAATGTCAACAAACTCCTCTTCCTCCTCCAACTCCTCTCTCGATTCTGCGTGCCCCATCAGAGACATCGCTGTCATCACTGCTGCCCCCATCATGACCAAACTCGTCCTCCTGCCTCCGTGCTTCCTTGTCCTCTATGTGGGTTACCGGCGATGGCGGCGTCAGCACCAAAGTGCCATGACGAACCACTCTGACGCCATCACCTACCACGTGGTCACCATGCAGATGGTTGTTCTTCTGGGGAATGTGCTCTTCTGCATCAGTCCTTAAGCTAATCTCCCAGAGCTGAGGGATGTAGGGACAGCTACTTACCAAATATTTCAAAGAGGGCAGATATTATTTCACTGCCTGACCGCTGTGGACCGCTACCTGGCTGTCGTCCATCCCATCACCTACCTGGGCATGAAGACAGTGCGCGTGGTCAGAATTAGAAATATTGTCATTGGGTGTGTCTGGGTGTTTAGTTTCGGGTGGTTTTCAGTGATCAAGCAAGATCCTGTGTCACGGATGGTTACATTCCTTGTCTTCATGGTTTCTTCCCTAATTGTCGTCTCTTTCTGCAGCATCTCTGTTCTCCGTGCTCTGATTCGTCCAGGGCCAGGACAAGGGGGCGGGGAAACAGGGAGGGTTGACCAATCAAAGCAAAGGGCCTTTTATGCCATGATGGCCATAACAGGAGCGCTGTCATTCTGGTTTGTAGGATACCTGGTTGCCACGTTACTGATCTTATCAAGGACTCTGAACGATTATGATGCGTGCATATTAACGTATTCTGACTTCTGGTTCACTCTGCCCAGCAGTTTGGTGATACCGCTGCTGTTTCTACAGAGAGCAGGAAAACTACGGTGCTGCTGTTAGAGCCACATTTCACAGGAGGCATTCTGACATGTCACATGGAAAAGTTAACTCTGTGGATGAATTTCATTTTGTTGCTTTGTTTTAATAATTTGCATTTTGACTTGTTTTGCTGCACATTTTCAGTTTGTGTATAAAGAACCTGGAAAGAATCAAAAATGTTTTTACACATAGCTTAGGAAGAAAAGCCGGTCTATCAATAAAATCAAAATATGCATTTAAGCCTCCTTCCTACTGAAGATATTAAAAATGGCCGCCAGATTAAAATATCAGATATCTGCATGGAGTACCCCAGGGCTCTGTTCTTGGCCCTCTGCTTTTTTCCCCTCTATATTTCAATTATAGGTCAGATCATAAGGAGTTATGGAACTAATTTTCACTGCCACAGTGTGCTAACGATTCTCAGCTGTATTTCCTTGTGAAGGCAGATGATCTTTCCCAGATCATTAGATTAGAAGCCTGATTGTCTGCTTTGAAAAACTGGATGTCGTAAAACTTTCCTGCTCCTAAATTCAGGTAAAACTGAGACTGAACTGGCTCGACAGATATCAGTTTGATCAGTTCACAGTAACTCTCGACAGCTGTGTGATCTTGGACATAAAAGCACTACGTATTTTGTATTCTTCATTGATTTTACCATACTTGGAGTATGGCGTTGAAAACTGGGGAAATATATACAAAAGCTCCCATCAACCATTGTATATATTACAAAAAAGAGCGATAAGAATTGTGCATAAGATGGGGTATAGGGATCACACCAATGGAGTTTTCATACAGTCTAAATTGTTAAACTTTTTTGATTTAGTGGGATACAAGACTGCTGTGTTTATGTATAAAGCCAGGAACAATTTATTACCTGGTGGAATTCAAAGGTATGTGTCAATCAAGATATATGCAAGAACAGGCTTAATGATTAATTAGATGGAACATTGTGGGTGTGGTGTATGAATGTTAATACTCTGTAATAATTCTTTAATATATTACTTGTGTGGTGTAGAAGATAAGTATTTAAGAATGTAATTATGTACGAATGTTAACACTCTGTTATAATTCTTTAGTATATTACTTGTGTGGTGTAGAAGATAATTATCTATGTAGAGATACTGCTTGCAAACCAATGATGGTAAGATGATGTCATGGGGTAGGACTGGATAAGTCTGACTTCTTCCTACTCCATTCAAGCATGTACTAGGTATAAGCAAATTGATGTTGGATTATGTGTAAAATCATGTGTGTTGTCATATCAACTGTCTTCACATGCTTGAAAGAATAAATCAAATCAAATCAAATCTCTCAAAGCCTGAATCAGTCTGGAATTTAAGGCTCCTCTCTGTCCCTGGAGTTAAAACAGAAAAGTCAGCTTGGCCTTTTCGTATTGTTCCACCTTCCTTTGGAATAACATCCTTGGTGACATCAGACAGGCCGGCTCTGCATAGGTTTTAAAATCCAAAATAAAAACATCTGTTCTCAACTTTTAATTAAAAGCTTGGCTATTTTACTTTTTGTCTTACTTTATTATGTATTTTCCATTATTGCACTTTTGTATTTTATGGGTTTTTGATGCTGTTTGTTTTGCTTGTTGCTGGTGTAAAGTGTGTTGAGATACTCTGGTATGAAATTGAACCTTACATAAAAGTTTATTTTAATATTAGTAGTGATATATGTCTTTTATTTTTTAAGGCAAACCAAGACACTGGACCCTAGTTTGCTCAGTTCTCACACAGTCTAACTGAGAATGTTGTTCAATGTAGGCGTTTACCTTGGTTTTTCCTCCTGTTACTACAAAAGCTGCTCACTGGACCTGTCGGCTGCAGCACCATGTCATGTTTCTGGGGAACAAAGAACGAAAAAAGTTATGTTGACACAAGTACCACATGTAGCACATAGCACACACACATGTGAGAACGACTTACTGATTAGATGCTGTGTGGGCTTCTGATCCAGCTGTGGCCTGAAACCAGTTTAAGTCAACAGGGGCAACTCAAAAACACATTTTACAGCTAGAATTACGTAAAGGATTCCTAGGATAAGTACGCACTCCCAAACATGTTTTAGGACATATTAAAGTTCTCTGGTTTCAGTTTAGAGGCCTGATATGATCTCTTTGCTTTGTAAATGTCAGACTTTTATCACATTGCAACAGGATTTATGAGAAAAATGTGAGGCCCAGACCAAGGTGACATCACTAGGGTCATTTTGCACAGCTAAAAATTCTAATACTTTAATATCTTTACAATTGTATAGCTATTGTTTAGTTAGAAATCCCACAAGACCAAAACCTGGAATTTGACCTCACTTCAACTTTATTTACAGAACTCTTTAAACAACAGTGGATGTGTTGGCTGCAACACCAAGTGGTGGGAGAGGAGGGGAAAAAGGTCTTTACCACAGATGACAACTGTCAACCAAGAGGCAAAACTATGCAAGAACTACTTACCAACGAGACACTGGGTGGGTGGACCCGCTCCAAGCTCTGCTCCAGCTGTGGCCTGGTTAGCAGGGTAGTTTCATGCTATGAAAAGTCTTTAAAGGATCAGTCCAAACATAATCAAGACAAAGGTACTGTGGAAAGGTCCCCCCACAGCTGAAACTAATGTTTTATAACATTAACAAACTGTTTCAACAAGCAACAAATCTAAAATAATAATAATAAAAAAAAATTACTGTAATATTTGATTCAGATATTAGATTAGAAATCCCACAGGACCAAACCTTGGTATACCAAGCAGATTTACTTTATTTGTATCTTCCATGATAATTATCATCTTGGCCGCTGTGGTTATACACAGGCCGGTGGCGACAGCTGTATTCTGGTGTGATACTGACAATCAGTGAAGTAGCTTAAATACCAGGACATTTTGCTTGAACAGGAAGCCCATTCTCGGCTTTACACATCAAAATAATGCACTGCATGAGAGACTACTGCATCAACTCCACACAGGCTGCATGTACACTAACAACTACACTGTGGTAACAGCTCATTTGTTTGACAGCTCACAAATGATCCAGCAGCATTAAATATTTAGCGAGAAAAACTGTTGAAACGTGTGTGGACTCCATGCTCTCGCCTGCGGTTGGAGCCGGCACAGCCTTCCTGCACTGAGAAATAAGTCGGAATGTTTGGACTCTGGTTTTGCAGGAGTGTTTCTTTTTAAATCTTTGTTGTCCGGTGATGACCCTTGACTAACAGTGAGGTGACACAGTAAAGAGATCGCCTGAGTCACAGCTTTGTTTTTAATACTGGACGACAAACCATACAATTATCTTTGAAGCAGACACCGAACATCTGTAGGCTCAGGAACCGAACACGCTCTGCGTAAATGCGCGGACACAAGTGACAACACTGGGTCCAATGCCAAGGGGTCAGCGGAGGTGATAAAGCTCTGTCCACAAGGGGGCGACAGCGGGCAGTTGAAGCTCAGCGTTGCCATGACAACAGTAGAACACAAATGTGGAGGAACGTGTACTGCTGTATTTATTTAAAGCAAAAACAACGGGATGTGCGACCTTTGACTTGATCACGAAAAAGGGATGGGGGATTTGTCTCTAGTGAAACCAGTGCGTTCTGATGAGGATGAATAATCGGAGTATTTCAGGACGACGCCAGATAAATACGACGACCTACTAGCCCACCAACACCAACAGAAGGGGTCTTCTTTCTCTTGTTATTCGGTGATATAGCGCCTCTAGTGGCAAAGCTACAAATTGCAACTCACGCTTACATTGCTTCAAGATTTCTCAGGACAAACTCTCAATCTAGCGTAGCTCGAAGTGTCCCTGTACTTATGTAGGGCGTGTTCGGGCCCTTAGTATGACGCGCAAGTTCGCATTTCAGTGCCTGAGATCAGAGGTCACATTTGTCTGTATGTTGCCTGATAGTTTCTAGCATCCACATTAGGCAAAAGTAAAGTTTCTGACGACTAAAACTAGAAATGCAGCTGGAATTCATGTGACTTCAAGTCAAACCAATTCTAGACATGTTTTACAGTGTTTGACAAACTTGGTATGACTACTCGCCTCATCCCATGACCACAAGAGAAACAGTACTAACAACAATACATCGGTCCTAATTGCTAGAGCATTTTACAAAATAGTAAGTGTTGATAAAATGGTGGAAAACCAGCACAGAATTTTGTGCAAAAGAAAAAAAAAGTGGGCACAAGAAAAGGTCTTTTTGAACTGAAATGAAAAACGGTCCTTCCTCACTTCTGTTTTACTTGCAGTTTGTGTCATACAGAGCAACACAGCCAGAAAATGGAAATGGAGGCTTGGTCACTAAACACACATCCTTTATCTTTAGATCAGTGGTGCCATTTACATGACTGAAGCACCCATTTCTTACAGTTATAAGTTCAGAAAGCAGCTTAGCGACATATACAAGCTCAGCCAGGAAGCAGGGATATGGGCAATATCTCTTCACAACACCTTCAGTCACAGGTAAAGGAAAATCATAAGATCAGGGAGGTTTGGTCACATCAGACTGGACCAGTGATGGTTCCAGGTGCCAGAGACAAATGACCTGGTTTGGCATCATGCTCAGGTTAGAAGCCATAGAGCAGGACAGCCTCTGTTTCCCACCCTGTCTGACTGACTCTGGGTTTCCCCTAAATACAACAGCACCAGCATCTGCTGTCACAATATGCAATGCTTTGCTGCCACCCAGTGGACAAACCCAGACACGGCACAATGTCACAGACACATTCCGGGAGGATTTACACATTTTGTTGATGAAAATCACAGATAGCTGTTATTTTTGTTCCTGAGTAGACCCGTCCCTTCTGACACCTCATGTAAATGTTTGGTGCTGCAGCACAGAGCACACTAATTTGTGTGGACTAGTTGCATCCACAGCTGCTAATGTCTGTGTGTAAACACAGCCATATTCTTTGTGATGCCTTTTCTTTTTTTGCTTTGGCATGTTTACAGATTTCAATGTGTAAAAGACACGGGACTGCAGCATTAACTGAAGTCCTGAGCAAAAAAATAAAATAAACAAATAAATGGTGACGTTGGACACAAAGGCAACATAGCAGGTCAGGACATGCTTTCGGTGCGTTTGTGTTATGACTGCATGTGTGGGGGCCATGATGGGCACTGGGTTAATGTCACTGTAGCCTAAAAAAGCTGTTACAATGGCTTTACTGTGGCGAATAAACATGCAAGCCAGCATGAGTGTGTGTTTATGTAAGACATCATGGGAACAAAGTTCTCTTGGCACACTCCGAGATAATAAATCAAATATCCAGTGAAATATGCTTCTAGTTAGAATAAACTAGACTTACAAGCAGGTATAACTGTGTCCAAGCACCATACGAAAGGACCCACGGCTCATGGCCGAAGCTCACTGGGAAGCCAAGTCATACAAAAATAAAATGTGCTAAGGCATGAAAAAGCTCTGAAGCTTACAAAGGTATTTAGATTTTAGACATCACTAACACAACCTGAAATCTCTACTCTAGTATACAAATGATACACAATAACAAATAAACAGCATTTTCTTGTTTTGTTACTTGTAAAAGATTTCAATTGGAGCTCACTACGAGTGGTTTTAAACTGGCTACATGAACAAAAACAGAGCAAACAGAACTTTCAAAGCCACATTATTATAATCCAACAACCGAGTGACTGAAAATTAAAGGTCTTGTAAGTGTGTTCATTGTTTTCTAGCGCTTTTTTGTTAAAGGACATTAATGGAAAATTTTCTCCACAAGTCAAGAGGCTGAGATAATGATTAATAGCTGTATGAAATAACCACATTTTCAATTTTTGCCTTTCAGTGGTTGTTAAACCATCTTTTTTCTGTTTCCACTGCTCCAGTCATAAACAAACACTTGTCCTTGTTTATTTCTTATATTTGTTTACTTGTGCCCAGCTCAACGTCCTCCAGAGCTACCGAAGATCTGTGAGCCTGAATGCGAACGTGTCAGCGTCTATCCCACACTCCAAACCAGGTCAGCACTCGAGCTCCACTTTTTCCTCTCCAGAAAGTTCCACAGAGGACATTCCCTGCCGTCTCCTCTGAATCCAGGTCGGATGTGTGGCGTTACGTATTTGTGCGCCTGTGTGTTCATTATTTGTAAAATAAGTGAAACATAATTTTTGGTCCACGTCCACAAAATCCGTCAAGAGGGTTCAACTCAAACGTCTTTCTGTCAGTGCACTTTTCAGCGTCTTGTCTGAGGTGAGCAGAGAGAGGAGGAGGAGGAGGGAGACCAGTCCAACAGCTACACCGACCACTGTGTGAAGAAATGTTCATCTAACTGCTGGAACTGCTTCTGGCTACCGTAGCAGGTTTAGTGTGCTTTGTAAATATATGCATCAAAGCACCGACGGCTGCTGTCTTTGCCAGTTACCTCTGGATCTTCATGGAAACGTAGCAAATCACAAGTACGACGGAGTTGATCCCTGTGGATTCCTGTCTGTGCCTTATCTGTTTGTGCCAGCTAATCAGGGGTCTTTGCTTTTTGGCACTGCATTTTGCAGTGGTGGCCATATTTGTTCCATAGCTGCTAGTAGCTCCTTCACAACAGCTACTGTCAGTTACATGCATCTCAGTGCCAGCTGCTTTTACACATCTCAGGATGAGGCGATGTTTCAGAGAGCAGTTTCTTATTTGCAGAAGATTCTTTAAGAGGAGGAGAAAGCAGCACGACACACCCAGGCTCTCGCTGTTGACCACTGTGATCGTACTGGGGGTTTTATTTTAATATCATTAACTGTCGCCAGCGTTTGTTTGCACTAAAAATGCAAAACAATTAAAAATACATTTCCTGTGTTTTTTTTTAATTTATGGGAATACCAGCTGAGCTCATAAAGAGCTGATTTTTCATGCTTAAACATGTACTGTAATATATTACTATTGGAGGAAGATTTTCTGGTTCTTCTGATTGTGCCAGCGACCACACGGGCATAGCTGGTGGAAATTAGCCAAACAGACTGTTTCTGTGTTGGAAAATCACACCTCTGCCTGAATCAGCATCATAAAAAGCCCATTTCTGTCGCCATCTTTTTGCACTTCTACACACAATTTGTTTATCCCTCACCTTTTCTTTCCAAATATGCAGACATAAATAGCGAGAGGCCAAAAACATCCAGATACGAGGTTTATAAAATCTGACTGAGGAGGAGAAACCTGCAGCTCGAGGAGAAAAGTGGAATGGGCCGAGAGGAAATCTGATCCCTGCCTCTCCAGTAGCAGAGGGAGGTGTATCACAAGAGGAATGGGATGATGGAGGAAAAGAGGACAGAGGGTTAATGATAACTACGGTGAAATCTATTTTGGTAAAGCGCCCTCTCACTTCCCTTATACCACAAGATGTGCTAACTGCAAAAAAAAGATGTAGCACTTATCTGCCGTAGTTATGTTTTAAAAAGAAACAACAGAATTACACCTCACGCTTGTAACTGTGTGTGGAGAGGAGTGAGGAAGGAAGGAGTGATGAAACAGCAGGGGCATGAGGAAAGAGGGAGAGCTCAGACAAAGAGGAAGCAACTGCTCCCGTTTTTCCAGCAGCTCCATATCAGTAATGGCTTCAGAGTGGTGGGGAAGCTAATGGTGAAGTGAGACGGCCACGATGAGACAGACTAAACGCTGTCAGTCCGGAAGGACCCAAGATTCATCGCAGAACCAATGAAATTTAGATTTCTTGATTAAATTCTAGTCAAAAATCATGACTGCGCTCAGGTTTATTATTAATGCCAATGTTTCAACCCCAACTAGTCTTCAAGTCAAGTCAAACGAAAACTTTGTTTTACTATCAGGTGTGAGTACACAGTCGAGAACATCAGAAATTCACAGACGGTAAACAACTATGAGACCTGAGGGCAGCCCCCATCACCTGTCTTAATCACACAAACATCCAGAACCTACATAAACCAAAAGGCACCATGTACAATATTCAGATACACCAGTAAAGACAAACATTTGAGCTGCCTTGAAGAAGAGTAACAGCAACTCGTTTATCTTTGTTTACTCCTTGAGTTCACGTTTGGTAATGCCGTTTGGGGACTTAAAAAAAAAATCTGCTGGCGTTATCTGGCAAATGGAAAAGAAGATTTATCTGGTGTCATGGTCTGCACCGTTTCTTCTCTTTCCATGACGCGTTCGAGTTCTGTTGGATGTTCTGCTCTGCCTCCGAGCTCGTTTGTATTTTATCTAGCAGGCAGCATCTCACTGCATCTTGGTGCTTCTAATACTGTCAGTTTCCTCCATCATCTGAAATATCTTAGGAACAGGTGCCCATTTCTCCATGTCTATTTTTAAGTAAGCTATACTTTTAACAAAACCATCAAAATATCCTTCTGTTACCTCCTCTACTTCTTCACCGCCCCTCGGCCGGTTCAGCTTCCTGCTCGCCACGCTGCAATTCTTTACACTTGTCAGTCCTCCTGCTCCTGAAAACAGACGTTCCTAAGCTTTCAGCCAGCCCGACTATCCAATCTGCAGTGGTGGAAAGTAACTATACATTTACTCAAGTACTTTAGTTTTGTGCTACTTCATATTGTGACACCACGTTATAAACTTTGTACTTTTTACTGCACTACATGTATTTGATTACTTTAGTTGCTCTCCAGTAACTAAAATACAGTATGATCATGATCATTTGTGGAAAATTCACAGGTGATCCAGCAGTAATTCAAACTCTGAGCATATAAGCCAGTTAAAAGTAGCTCCACCTTAATGAGCCACTACACAATAAAGCATCAGTAATAATTATCTGTTAATATGATGTCCATTAATGTGAAATGTGCCATTCTGCATAGTGAACTCTGTGATAATAATATTTTTGTACTAGACTGCTGTACCTGTATTGCTACTTTTACTTCTTCCCCAACTACCAGTCTGTCGCCCTCTCGTACACGCAATCCCCGTGTATCAAGGATTTTCCCGCCTTCAATCATCGTCACCGACTCCATCTCATCTTGCTGCCGCCATCTCTGACGGCTCTCCTCCCTCTGAACCTCTCTCTCCTACGCTACGTTCTTTTCCTTTTCTGCTCCATCCTCTTACCTCGGAATCCTTTCGTCCATTTCTGTGGATGGGATACTGTTTCTTTCGACCTCAGTCTGTTCATTCATATCACTTTCCTTCATCTCTTCTTCTCTTCCTTGTTTCGTCTCCCTCGGTCTCTGCTCAGACGTTCTCACTTTTAATGTGCAGCGTTTCCCTTCACATGTCGTCTCCAGCATGGCAGCTCTCCTCCCCGTGGATGATGAGGACAGGGAAGAAGAAAGCGTCCTGGTAGGATGGAGGTCGGTCCCTCTCACCCTCCCTCCTCTCGCCTGCCCCTCCACTGTCCTGTGCTGCTTCTTCATCCCCCTCCCTGCCTCTTCTTCCCCTACCTTCCCTTCTCCTCACCTCCTCCTGCTCCTCTTCCTCATCGTCATCCCCTTCTCCTTCTAGAACTCCTCTTGTCTCTTCGTTGTCCTGTCTTGAACCTAACCCCAGGAATCCTCCCCCCGCCCCACCTCCACCACTTCCTCCTCCATCTTCCCTACTTCCTCCCAGCCCTCCCCCCATGCTTCTTGAATGAAACAGGTTGTTCTGGCGTCCACCTCCCAGTCTCCCTAGTGAGAATCCACTCCGGCTGAGCACCAGCCTTCCGCCTATACCCCCACCTCCTGGCCTTGCTGCCCTGATCCCTGCCACGGTAGCGTTCAGGAGGGCAGTGGTTCCCATCGGGGCCCTCAGCCTGGAGGGAAGACTAGAACTGGACGTGGTCCTCCGGCACCGGGGGCAGCTCTGGAGGAGGTAAGCCGAGTTAAACACCACAGGCAGAGCAAGAGGCGGCGGCGGGTTGGTCCCCTGGCCGGGAACGATGCCCGGAGGCCCGGAAATGGGTGTAGAGGCGGTGGGGTTCGTCCCCCCACTTGTGTCCAAGTCCATAAGGAGGGCTTCAGAGTAGCTCGGCACCATCTGTTGGTTACAGCGGATGTGCCACTCCAATTCCGTCATGTCCACCGTGTTGACCCGGGAGATGGCTCGGTAGCTCGTCCCGTTTAGACCAACTGCGATCCCCACTCCTCCTGCATGGATTCCATTCTCAGTCCCCCCTTCAACCCCATCCCCTCTTCCACCTCCACCCGGCCCTCCTCCACCTCCGCCAGTGTCCTCATCCTCCCCGAACAACTTCTCCACATGGTAGTGCACATATGCCGTGCGATACTCTGACACGACCCGTAGCGGCCATGACAGGAGGAAAGCCGAGGCCAGCCAGAACACCCTGTGCCTGGAGAACCACGGCTGGTGAGCAGGATCTGAGAACGCCAGGATGTGTTCACGGAAATCCACGTTCTTCAGGTGCATTCCCTCCCTGGCCTCCATGTAGTCGTCAAGCCCCTCGTTCTCCCCGAAGAAGCGCGCTCGCTTGGACAAACAGAAAACATGCGACACATTAGCTGTGTAAGAATTCTCCATAATCAGTTTATGAAAAAAGGCAACTACTTGTCAATTCCAGTAGTATTTAGTATTTACAGTAAACATCGGAGGGCAAACGTTCTTCTAGAAATGTGAAGGTAACCACATAAGCTCTGAAAACTCGTTTTATCACATTTTATACATAAAACAAAAGTCCTCATTAGAGCACAGCGGCATTAATGATATTATACGGGCTGTATTTTACCACATCTTACCTGCGTGAGGTAGGCGGCTTCAGCTCGTGCGCTGGAGAAGCTAAAGAGCACAGAAATCAGTCACGACTTGTTTAGCTCCTAAAATAACCATCTTAAGTTGAATTTAAAGGCGCCCAACCTGAAACACTTGGTGAAACGCAGGCGAACAGCGGGGTGCCGCTGCAGGTCCAGCAGCTCCTTCGACACGTCTTTGACGCCGTAACGGGCGTAGTCGAACTCGGAGCTGGAGGCGTGAGTGTTCACCCGCTCATGGTAGACCTGAGGGACGAGGGTGCAGAGAAAGGGAGTCATAAGAGGAAAAGGAAGCAGAAGAAGGGGAACAGACGGGAAGTCTGACGAGCTACCAGGAAGACATTTGAACCTTCATATTGTTAGGGTTATTTTTATTTTATGCACTTAAGAATGGTTTTATTTTATAGCACACATAAGTTTACATACTTATACGTCACAGTTATGTTTATATAGTTACATATCACCCCATGTGTTCACTGAACCACTGGTTAATATTTACTGTGTTAGTCACTGAAGCACTGTTCAACATTATAGTATCTTGTCCACTAAATCACTGAATCTCATTAGATTTACAGCTCTGGCTAAGAGAGTCCACAGTGAATTTATCATCACCACTGGGCTAGTGGAGCCAGGGGAGTTACAGTTCACTGGGACTCCAAGGTTAGTCAAACAGAGATTAGATCAGGAGGCTAGTGGAGGAGAAAGCTTCAAAGGTAGGAACATTATGCACCCCCCCACACACACACAGACAGAACAGTTTTAATTAGCAATGCGTAATATGGAGCAGTTAGCTGAAACCAAAGGAAGAAGTGAGTGTGTATGTAGGAATTAAAGTAGTATAGGTATTCTTCTCCTTTCTAGGGCGCTGTCCACGATGATTGGAGCAGAGAGGACGATTGGACTGAAGGACCAATAACGGGTCCCCAACAGTTTTTGACCAATTAGATAGTAGTACCTTTTCATACAAATATTGTATACCACTAAGTTGAGGACAGTCTTTTCCTTTCATCAGTCAAGATCCATGTGCACATGGTAAATGGACTGTATTTTATATAGCGCTTTCTCACAGTGTGTTGCACTGGTCAAAGCGCTTTACAGAAGATCATACACCATTCACCCATTCACACACCGATGACAGTTTTTGACCAATTAGATAGTAGTACCTTTTCATACAAATATTGTATACCACTAAGTTGAGGACAGTCTTTTCTGTTTATCAGTCAAGATCCATGTGCACATGCTAATTTTGATACATTAATGCATAATAAATTTCACACTGTGAAATATATATCCTCTTATTAGTCTTCTCTTTTCAATATAAAAAGAACACGCCTCACAATATACGTTTCAGCATCAACAAAGCATGGCTGCCAAATGACCTTTCTTACTGCACATAGCCCCACTTTAAGGAAGAATTAAGAGTTGCACAGCAGGTATTATAAAAGTTGACAAAACAATAACTCGAGGTTGCACAGTGTAGCTGTTAACGTAAAGAGAAACAGTGTGTGTGTATCAGAGCCGTCCTCACCTGTGTGGTTGTATAAGCGTCTCCGTTGCGGTATCTTGTCACCTGTCTCGTCCTCCTCACGTAGTGATAGCTGATGGCCTTCCACCAAATGCAGGGTGTGGCCTGCTGGAGTCTCTGCACACGCTCGTACACTTCCTGTGTGTACGAGTGAAGGAATAATCAAATCAATACCACATTTTAATTATGCTAGTACGTATGGAAGCCCATTCCCGCCAGTTACTCCGACTTAGCTAAGTCGAAATTCCGACATAGCTAAGCAGAAATTCTGACATAGCTAAGTTAGAATTTCTACTTAGATTTACTTAAGTCATTATTTCTACTTAGCTATGTCGGAATTTCGACTTAGCTAAGTCGGAGTGACTGGCGGGAATGGGCTTCCATATTTACCTGCTCCAGGTTTCTAACACCATTTTATAGGAAATTATTACATTTTTATGAAATATAATAGTAGGCTTATTAAGGTTCCGCTAGGTAATTGGCTGACCAACCACACTGTATGCTTGCTTCGCAGTAACTCATCAGAGCAGCACAGCACAATGTAACATGAGAAAACCTCAAACTTTTTATAAACTGGGAAACAAAAAGCCCATTCATGTAAGGTATGTGGAAGGTTTATCTTTTTTATTTTCTGTATACAAAGTCCATCCATTATCTGAAAAATTCGCCAGCCTATCACAGGGCCACAAA